AAGCAGCCGCAGATGCCTGCGCCGAGGGCAGTATAGTGGGCATAGGGGGTTGGTTCATCTCCAGCAACTCCGTTTCTTGGTTCGCAGAAACGTGGCAATTCCAGGAAGTCCAGGAACAGTGGCCGTGCCTCACCAAAGAAGCCCAACGTTACATCGCATGCTTCGACACTTTGGCTCAACTGGCACTCATGCGTATCGCATGGTCCTGCGAGGGACAAAGCGTGCATGGCATTTGCATGCCCACAGGGACAGATAACACAGCTTCCGAGGCAGGCGTTAATAAATTGTTCACCACTGCATGGCCTTTACAAGTCTTTGTGCAACTTGTTGCCGCCTGGGCCCATAAGCACAAATGGTCCGTGATCGCGTCACACATCCCAGGAGAGCACAACATCTGGGCGGACCAACTTAGCAGAGGTAATACCTCCGCGTTCCAGGCTCGACCATATGCCAGAGTGCGCTTTAAGCCGCATGACTTCTGGCCTCACGCATCAGCTCTCACGCTTCACCCTGAGGACGCACCGTGGAGACCCGAGCACGTGGCTGCATCGCAAACGCACTAAAGAGGGGGTGAGGTGATTTGACCGTTTGCTTAGAACTCTAAAGTGGGGGCATTCCGACAGGCTCCGCATGAGATGCAGGAAGATGGAGTGGACGCGCATCGTCACTCCACCTGCATCTCAGAGCCTGCACTTCTAAGCAACGCTCAAGTAAAAAAGCGCGTGTCGAGTTTGCTCCGGTCGGTTGCTTTTTTCCTTGCATGTCCCTTTAGGCTTGAAGCAGTGACCAAGATTCTAACGCTAGGGGTTTGTCTTTTCCCCTGTGTTTTAATCTTGGTTGAATCTTCGGCCGCGTGGCTGTTTCTGCTTCAAGCCTTTTGGTAAGGGACATGCCTTGAGGGTTTGACCCCTCTTTCGTTCTTTTTTGAACCCACCCTCCCACCCTTTCACGGCCCAGGTGGAAACCAACTTCCACAAGGCCTGATTGAGGGATGAATGCACACGCATGAAAGCAAGCTTTCCCGATTCCAACATTTCGTTGGCTTACTGCATCCCGCTGCTCCCGCAGGACCAGTTTGAGCCTATGCAGCGAGGACGCATTCCTCACTGGCCACGCCAGTTTGAACCCATGTTGTGCACGCAGTCGCACATCACTGGATGCCATCGGCATTCTATCGGACCAGCCTGGTCCCCTTCAGGAGGACGCATGCCTCCCATGCACACCTATGCACGCATCGCATACCGATGTGCAATATACCTCCTTTTTTGTCTCACACCCCATGGGTAAAACACCCTGTGTGATGGTCGAACACGCAATGTTGACCACAGGGGGCATTCCGACAGGCTCCGCATGAGATGCAGGAAGATGGAGTGGACGCGCATCGTCACTCCACCTGCATCTCAGAGCCTGCACTTCTAAGCAACGCTCAAGTAAAAAAGCGCGTGTCAAGTTTGCTTCGGTCGGTTGCTTTTTTCCTTGCATGTCCCTTTAGGCTTGAAGCAGTGACCAAGATTCTAACGAGGGAGTGCTGGTCCACCACCGACCGTAGTTGGGTGCCACCGTGGTCAGCGTGGCGATGTTGGCCGAGGCGATGGAGCCGTCATGGCTGCCGTGGTGCTGTAGTTTGACAGCTTCAGGTCCACGCTGTCAGGCGTGCTCTTCGTGGCCACCACACCCTCCAGCATGTCGAAGGCCAACTGGTCAGCCTTGTTCGAGAGACCCGTGGTCAGCGAGCTCTGCAGCGCAGCGATGCTGCTCCCGTGCGCAGCCACCTGCCCGTGGCCAGACGTGCGATTGCTGGCGCCAGTGCGCTGCCCATCCAGCTTCGAAGCCAGCTCAGGGACTGGATGGCAGCTGCGTTGTTGCCGGATGCTGCCGTTCACGGCACTTGCGCGTAGGGCGTCAGAGCGACTCTAGCTGCCCTGCGGTGCGGGATGTTGCCGGTGACTGGTCCTTCAAACATGCTCCTAGCTTGAACCCAAACAACCCTCCAAATCCACAAACTCCGCAAACCCAAAACCCACGCGCTTCTTCTTCACGGGTTGCTTGAAAGTCCCCCCTTAAGTGTTTCCAAGCAAACCCCGGAAAGTGCTGGGCCAGGAGCAGCCGACCACACACCCCCCCTTCAGAGAAAGGTATGGAGTGCATGGAATCAGGATTGAGGTCTGCAGACAAAGGCGCAAGCCAAGATCTGAGGTGCAGCGCAATGCTGGTTGCCCAGATGAGCAGGCCGACGCGTTGCTCAAGAGTCTTGCGGAGCACTTGCTTCTGTGATAGCAGAGCTTTGATCCAGCTTGCAAATTTTGCCAGCTTGCTTGACACAAGCTGGATTGACTCGTGGGAGAAGTTGATCCCGCACCATGCAAGGCGGTCCTGGAACTGCGCTTTCTTGCAGCACATCGGTGCTGCAATGGCGCAGGAGAAAAGCACCCCCAAAGCGAACATTTCCTGGGCACGCGCGCGCAAGAGGTCGTCCACAAAAAGGAAGGCTTTGTGTGGCTTCCAAGCCAATGTGCGCCCACCAAAGTGGCATATTCTATAGTGATAGAGTTGCTTCTGAAAGGCAAAGAGCAGGAGGCCATGCTCTTCATGGCGCACTTGGACATGCTTCTGGGTTGACATCTAGGCTGGTGTGTATGAAAGCACCTGGTGTGTCGTCTTGCTGAGTAGCCAGGGCTATGCCTGCCAGCGCCTATGAAGACCATTGTTGGGGGCAAGCCTTGCGTTCATACAGATGGGGCAGGGCCTTGCTCACCTGGGGCCACATAGCAGGAGGTGCGCCTTGATCAGACAAGTTGGTGGTGGCCTCCTGGCCCTTGCAACACCGTGGTTGCAGTGGCTGTGTGCCCTGCGCTGTATATATTGTGACATAAATTTCCATACTATACAGACTTTGGTTGTATACAGGAAGAAGGAAATTTCTGCTTGCAGGCAATACATTCTCTTTGTAGAAACCAAATAAGGCTTGCAAAAGCCTGGTCTGTACCAGATGGATGATTCCAATGTTACCTTCTTGCTTGCTGTGACTTGGACTCACACATGCAAAAGCGCGCGCGCGCGGTGCGCGCGCGCGCGCCTGTTTCTTTTTGTGTTTTTGAAATTCGCTCTACATCCTGAAAGGATGTTTGGCTGCTTGATCGGCTTGAATTTCGAAACCAACAACCCATTTGAGTTTTCTCGCCACGGCATTTATTAATGCTTGAGATTGGACCGTAGGTCAATCAACTGCAGTTGATGTGTGACCAATATGGTTCAAGGGTGAGGTGGGTGGGATGTCTGTTTCTCCCATGTTTCTGCAAAGTCAGAAATTGACCCGCCCAAACCCACCCAATTTCCTCCTTTGCCTACTTGGCTCCTCTTGGGAGCGCGCGTAAGGGGGGGGAATGTCCGACCAGCTGATATGCAAGGCGATTGTAGTCAGAATGGTCGGCCTTTGTCTGGGTGTCAGATCAGTACTCGCATGCTGATCATTTCACCTGAATCCATATTTCCCCAGACCGCTTTGCAAAGCAAAGATGATGAGTGGGAAAAAGAACCGTGGAGCTGACGACATGTTTCTGCTTCTCCTGGGTTTGCGGTGCATTTCTAAAAGTCCCCCCTTTTTGGAACGCACCCGTTTGGTTTGCTCATGAAAGATGCTTTCCCTGCATCTTCGTTTGTTGAGTGTGTGCCCTGCGCTGTATATATTGTGACATAAAATTTCCATACTATACAGACTTTGGTTGTATACAGGAAGACGAAAGTCAAGAGGGCCAAGCATGAGACTTTAAGAGTCCGGGATCCCTGGCCCAAAGAGTAAGATGCTGGAATCAAGTCAGTGCTGCGCGCTGGGGGAAAGAACTTTGAACCTTGCCTTCTTTTTCAGGCATGCTGGCCTGATTGGGTTTGGGTATGAATATGACAGTTTCACGATTTCAGAGTTCCCCGCATTTCTCCAGCCAATACCCTGAAAAAGCGAAGGAGACAAAAAGAGTGGAGCGCTCGATTTGGTTTGCTTTCGCTTTGGTGCTCATGCTTCTCTCATTGCACTTCGTACTCTGTGAGTAGGTTTGGGATTTTAGGCCAACACCTTTTTGCATTCGGCTCAAATTAAAGGTTTGCCGTCAGGGTCACGCGTAGTGGGCTCGCCCATCGAAGTGGGTCCCGTTAGGCTTCAACCTGGGTTCGCACATGATTGCTTCCCCCACCCATTTTGGGGGAGGGGGGATGTTTGCTTCCAGTTGCATGTGTCGGTTTCATGCGAAATCCTCGACAACTATTTTGACCTTTGTCAATGCTTGAAACTTGATTGTCAACGGTTTTGCATTCATGTAAGCCGGTCCTTGCGAATAGGTTCGCATGTTTCTCCCTTGGGGAGGGTTGTGAAACATTCTCTCGATGAGACTTGGCTCATTTTGAGCACCCACCCAACCCACCCTGTTTTGCGGGGGGAAAGAACTCTGAACCTTGCCCTCTTTTTCAATGCTGGCCTGAATGGATTTGGGTATGAATATGACAGTTTCACGATTTCAGAGTTCCCCGCATGACTCCAGCCAATACTCTGAAAAAGCGAAGGAGACAAAACAAACGGAGCGCTCGATTTGGTTTGCTTTCGCTTTGGTGCTCATGCTTCTTTCATTGCACTTCGTACTCTGTGAGTAGGTTTGGGATTTTAGGCCAACACCTTTTTATTTGGCTCAAATTCAAGGTTTGCCGTCATGTTTCACGCGGGTTGCGAACAATGGCAGAACCGCAATTTCCAGCCCAGGCTCTGACACATAATTGCAGTTGCTGAATATCAGTTCAACGAATCGGCGCATCAAAACAACCCTGTTGAGTTGTGGTCTGTTGGCTCAAATTTCTTTAGGAAAAACCATTTAAGTTCGATTGAATTTGTCCAAACCGATTTGTCGCGTCTCGTCCGAGACACATATGAATCGCCAACCGATTTGTATTTGCGCACCTCTACCCAGTGTCTGCGTAAGTTGCATAGCAGGTTGTGATTCCACGGCCATGACGCCATGGCACAGAACTGGAGTACTCCAGTTGACATGTCCGAAGGAGCTCAGGCTGGAGTTTACAGCCAGCAAAACGATCAATTTGCTGGCTTTTGGTGCAGGAACATGACCTCGTGAATGAGCTGCAGTGTGAGTTCCACAATGAAACCAGCAAGTTGACATCCAATGAAGAGATTGACCAGGAAAGCGACATGCCAAGGCAAGTGATCTTGCCATCATGAGGGCAGTTGTACAAATGAAGCACGCAACCACGCGCTTTCCATTGTGGAATCAATACTGAGAATAATCATACATTTGCTGTGAGCACTTTTATGAACAGGATGCATGATCCGCATACGGTGATGAAATTGAGCGGGGAACTGCTTCAAACATGTTTGGTCGACACTTAAACTAGCAATCTTTATCGGACAAACATCTTTGAAGGCAAAGTGTCTACCAGCCAAAAGGCAGTCTTTTGTGCAGATGACAAGCTTCACGATGCTGAAACGGGAGCTCAGTCTAGAACACCAGTCCGCTGAATCAAACATACCGAATTTTTCAAGCTAGCCTGCAACGCACAACCCACACACAGCACAAGCAAACGTGCAAACTAGCAAAGAAGCATTAGCAAACATCAGCAAAAGTACAACATCAGATGACTCAGTCATTGCACACGAAGCCAAAGCATGCCAAGGGCAACGAGAGACGATCAGTCACAATAGGCAGAGACAGACAGCGACGCGCTGCGACAAGCACCGCAAGATGATTATATGAAGCTGCAAACAGCAGCAAACCACGACAAACAGCAGCCAGCGCAAAAGTTCCAACTGCCAAGCTTTGCCAGGCAGGAATGGCAAAAAAAAACAGCAGCAAAGAATATTAGCGGCAGACGAACAGCAATCAGCAAGGAATAAAAGCTGTAAAACAACGACGTGCACCACTAACTAGCGACTGCATAAACCAACAATCAGCAAGCAACACACCGAACATCCAACGCTTACGGAAAAACAGAAATGACATTGTTTTGCAGCCCTGTTACTATTGTGTATTGGTCAAAAGACCGGCTTGCCTGGGATTACGAATATGGCTCCTTTCGGGGGTAGGAGTTCGACCATGAGGTTTCCTTTCCAGGAGACCACGGCCATCCAGGAATGCCCAAAGTGTGCGAGCCTTTGCCAGGCCCTTGCGGCGCAGGCTTCGGTCGCGGCGGAGTGTTACCGCCTTCGAGGTGCCCTTCGAGGGATTTCACCATGTACTGCAAGAAAGTGATCGGATGCATTTTCGATGGAATCTCCATGAGGAGCCTTCTTTGCCACGAAATGCGAAGGAGTTTTTCTGGGAGGGATTGGTGCACAAGATTGTGCCAAAACTGGACAGAGGCGTGGAGGAGGACATTCGTCAGCTGAGGCTAGTACGGTGATCCGCAGGGTCAGAATGCTTTCTGCTGACTCATCTCTGCAGAAGCTTGGCTGCAGAACAGCAGTGCTGGCTTCAAGAGGCTGCAGAGACGTTGCACTTTAGCACGTAGAAGGGCTCCTTTATTAATGCTTCACAACAATGGACTTGGTTCAGTTTGTGTGGAGGACCTGTGACTCTGCAGCAGTGACGTGCTAGACTCAGTTGCTGCAATTTGAAGACTACCACCTTTTGCGTTGGCAATTGTTATTCACTATCCCTCTTGCGGCTTGCCCCAGGTTGCGAATATACGATGTCACTGGGGCGGAGGCAGGCATTTTGCTGCTTCTTTTCTGTATGAACTCAATGTGCAAGCAAGGCCACTTTCATTCTTGTTATTCAAGTTCTGAAAGCTTGGTATTTTTCGTTGTTTGCCCCCAGCAGATTGTTCTTGCTTGCTATGACCTCCTGAGGTAGCATGGATTGGATAGGCACACCTTAAGCTTGAAAGGGGCTTGGTGAGCGCTTGCATGACGCTCATGCCTTTTAAAGTGCAGCCCTTGTGTGGGATAGGTGGTTTCCGGTCTCAATCGGCTATGTCGAGCCATCGGCACTGGTGCCTTCCATGCTGGTGTGGAGGAGCTCGTCGAATTGCCTTGCATTGGTGCATCCCAGACCGGCAGGTGTATGGCCTAGAGTGGAGCTTTGGCTTTACGGACGACGGTGGAAGTGGCGTGTTCAGCTGCCGATCTGACCTGTTGATGGGTAACTGGCCTTCCGCTAGCATTGAACCGGATCAAAACCATGGAACAGGCAAAGGGATCTTTCGGCAGGTTCCATACTAGCGGGTGGCAGGGTAGTTGCGCTTGGGGTAGATCAGAGTCTCACAATCACACTGCTGGGACGCAGGCGATCCAGGAGGATGCGGAGATCACGCCTACCGGGAGGCAGTTTGCCTGCGCACTGTTTGCGAGTCTGTGTTTGGTCTGGCCGCGCAGCCAGGCAGTGTACATGGGTCGCACCCCCTTGCGTGAAGAGGACAGCCAGCTTACTGCTTTTGTTTTTGTGTTTGTGAAGTTCAGGATGTTATGATGATCCTGAGCATGCTGGCACAAGACTGGCAAGGCTTGCCGAGCTCACGGGTCGGACCTTTTTGGGGAGTGAGCATGGGACGCTTTGGAATTTGCAGTTGGCAGGTGCGGAGTACGACATCTTAAATCGGAATTGCTGTCATTTCAGTGATGCGTTTTGCAGGCGCGGGGACTACTCAGGGCTCGTTCCAGTGTTGTATTCCCGCTGACAGGGATCTTGGTGTTGGCCCAGTTCCAGGGTGGGTTACCAATCTGCCGCTGGCTCAGTCCGGCCAGGTCTCTGAGGTAGTTCAAAGCAACAGCCAGTGGAAAAAGTTGCTGAGGGCTTATGCGGGCGCCAATGTCGCGGCTTGGCAGATGTGTGGACGCGATTGGTGCTGGGGCTTTGTGTGCTGTTGGCACTGAGGAAGCTGGGTGCAGGGCTCAGAGCGGTATCTTGGGTCATTTGCTCCTCCCGGAACACTGATTTGGGGCTTTTGAGGGTCACCAGCCGCTCTTCTCATAAGGGACACAGACGGCCAGATCTGAGGGAACCACCATATTAACATGGGGTGGAATAGTCCCCTATGTGAGACTCAAAGTTATTTTGCACCTGTAATGCAACGTGTGCCGCATTCGCAGTTGGTGTCTGTGCAATTTCCTGAAGACTGCCAAGGCTTCGGCATGCGGTTTCTGGCGTGCAGGCAGCTGCCGTCATAGCTTCGGCCAAGGCCACGAGCGTAGACGCAGCTCTAATATGCTAGTAGTCGCTTCCTTCTTGGACCGAATCGAAGCGTTCCTGAGAGGCCATGGTTGGCTGATTTTGCTCCATTGTTTTTTCTAGGTTCACTGAAGTTCTCTAAGCGCTCTTTGTCTGCAGGCCATGCAGATCGAGGAGGAGCTGGCCATCAAGCAGGTGGTCACAGATGGAGTGAGAAACTCAACTCTTCCCTGCTGCGGTTTGGCCATTTGCTTGTCGCGTCTTGATCTTATGTGCGCGGCATTCGGGCTTGAGGGCTGAATATGTTTCTGCTGGGAAGCACACACACAGTCGGTCTCGTCAAGATTTTCTTGCGTTGGTCCGGCCTGTCGGGGCTGCTTCAACTGTTGTCCACATTGTGTTGGTGCAATCAAGCCACTTGCATCAGCCTCTGATGCTTGCTTTTGCATTGGGTTCGTACTGCATTTCTGTGGTTGAAGTTTGCAGGACTTTGAGCTGTTGATTGGGGAGGTGCAGGTCTTGATCGAAACGCAGTGCGAGAAATGTGCTATCCATCAAATGGACTCAAGTAGAATGGTCGGCAATTCAGCACACAAAGTGTAACATGTCACGCGTTTCAAGCACACCCAGAGCCAGCTGGGAGAATTGTTGTGTTTGCAAGCAGTATTACGCATCTCAAGTTGTGGCTCATGCTTACTCTCCAACTGGCAGATTATAGACAATGGTCTCGAGGACCGGAGATGACTTCCAACATTGTATTTGGTCACTTTGTGCACCAAACTTTACAAAATGCAAAACGTGGATTAGTTGCTTCTCAACGAACTGTTGATCCAGCTCCGAGCGGATGGCCCGTCGATTTCCCTGTCTTCGAGCTCAAGCCTGATAGAAGAAACGAACCCGAATGCAATCTGCCCGCTACCTGTTAGCTAGAAGTTTGAAGCATGGTGACTCACTCAACTCACTCACTCCCTCCGCTTCGCTCCGCTCCGCTCCGCTTCCCTCCACCCACCCCACCCCACCCCACCCCACCCCCACCCCCACCCCCACCCCCACCCCCACCCCCACCCCCACCCCCTGTGTTTGGTTTGCCACACCATTGATCTCCTGCAACCATTTGGCTCAAGGCCCTCTTGTATATAGCATATTGCATTCATGCGATAGCAGTACAAAGGCTTGCAGAGACCGCTAGCAGGAATATCAGTCAAGTCAAGCCACCAGGGACAATCCATCCTCCAATCATCCATATTGGCATATTGGACTCTCTCCGGAATAGATCCAGCGACCAAATCAACGACCTCTACTACCACAGGGTACCAGTTCGCTTCTGGGATAGGCACCTGAGGCAGTGGGCCTCAATTTGTGGTAGCGGAGCGGGTTTTCCGCAGAGATCCAAGGGAAGATGTCATCCGATGGAGAAGGCTTCATGGAAGCCTATTCAAGTATGGCCAAACCACAAGACTATACTCAATTTATCGATGACCGCCAAGCAGCCGCCATCGTACGACGGAAAAGTCAGCTGGTTCAGGTAGGAAGAACTCGTGGACGACTGGGTGACAATTGGTGGAAGCACCCAAGAGAGGACCACTACTCAAAAGCAGACTCACCGGAGATGCATATATGTATAAGGCAGTCCTCCAAAATGACCTTTTGCAAGATCCTGATGAAGGAGTCAACTACTTCAAGAACACGCTGAAGAAGTACTTTTTGAAAGGTGCGACCAACGTGTATCTGTACAGGCTCCTCAGTTTGTTCAATCATAGAAGGCAGAACCAAGTCAAAATTCGAAATCCTTCTCATGAGATTGCAGGCAGCATGGATGGACTTGATGTCAGTTTTCACGGCACAGCCAGAATCATTTCGACAGTCCGTGCAGGACGCAAATGCAAGAACAATTGCTCGACATCAGCAAGCAGCCGGTGTTCGAGCACCGCCTCCAGTCCTGCTCAATGAGGAAGATCCAACAGTCCTCAGACAGTATATCACGGGAATGCAGGACAGACAGCGGGACGCATTTCCCTTCGGGGATAATCTCATTGCACAGTTTTTCATCATTCAGAGTGAGCTGTCAGATCAGCAGCGAGAGAGACTGACAAGTGCAATGTCATTGAGAAACATCTCACTAGAAAACTACTCTTATGAGATGCTGAAGACGCACTACCATGAACTCTTCATCACGACCAGGACATCCATTCAAGATCCATCTATTTGACCTCAAGGGGGCAACCGAAGCAACACATTCTTCATCATCGAACAAGGTGAATATGAAGGAGAAGAAGGCTTTTGGGTTGAGGATGAAGAAGGACTTGAAGGATTCATGTCAAACAACGATGAGGAGACATTCTGGGTCCTCGAGGAGAACGATGCGTTCATCGCAAGAAAAGTGTCAGGGCAGCTGGCATGCAATCCAGCGTTTTACTCAGGCCATCGAACCAATGAAGGACATCATCTCCTATCAGTACATTTCGGCCGAGACCAAGTTCACTTTTGCAAATGGAGAAACAGCCAGGGTAAATGGGACCCTGCATCTTCGATATCACACAACTCCTCCATGCAGTACCAACATCGACGTCCTTGAACAAGGAACTGTACCGATCCTCCTCAGCATCAGTCAGATGCGGAACCTCTACATGACCATAGAGCACACACACCTCAATGTGACAAAATCACATGCAAGGCTTTTGGCATGACCGGCAAGCAGTTCCTGCACTCGTCGATCTCGCTGGAGTTGCAAGAGTGAAGGCACATGGAGAAATTGCTCATAAGGGCCTCACCAACTACGTCTATGATGATGATAGCAGCATCAAGTTTCCCTCCGGGGATATCTCCAAGAGTGAAACTGTTTGTGCAGCAAAATCATCCGAGACGAAGGAGGACCTAGCAACTCCTAAAATCATTGGGTCTCAGAAACAGGACCATTGGATCCTTGACAAGAAGAACAAGCAGCTCATCTGTGTGCGCATCACGCCTCTAAAGGCACTGTTCACACCAAATGGAGCCAAGGAATGTCCAATCAATCCTGATAACATCAGCCGAGAGCGTACTACGGAAATCATTGTTGCATCCGAAGGTGGAGATCCAGACATCCTAGAAGACAATTGGAGACTTACATCCCAGGCAAACAAACCTATGATTAACCTGTGGCGAGGTAACACCATTTTCACCTTCGCGGACAATTCGCTTAAGGATGAAGAAGCAGGCTCAGGATCGGCAGCAGACAGGATCATCGACAAGAAGGGCCGGTCGACCATTGAGCCAGATCCGTTCGCACCATCCTCAGAAGAACCTACAACGCTTCCGCTTGCGCTAGGAAGAATCCACAAGCGATTGTCAAATCCCGAAGAGTTGAAGAAGCTCCACCTCCAGCATCACCACATGACAACAGATCAATTTCGATTTATAACTCGCTCACTTCATTTGCCGAAATCAACATTCGATCTATTTGACAAAATCCGAAGTGAATGTGAAGTTTGCCAAGCGGCAAAACATGCACCATCACGAAGCAAGACGAGTGGACTTCGAGCGGACACCTTTGGTGACATGACATTCATTGATCACTGTCAAGTTCCTCTTGGAACAGGAGAACACATCATTGTTTTTGTCATCCTGGATGGAGCAACAACATTGCTCACTGCAGAGGCAGTGACAACTACGCAAGAAGTCGAGAACATCACTGTCCTCAGGAACTTTTTTGACCAGTACCACTTGCAGCCAGAATCAGTTGTCGCAGATCAAGCCTTCATGACGGAGACATGGGAACATTTCTATCAATCCCTTGACATCACACCGATATCATTGGGACCGAACACACCATGGCCAAATCGAGCTGAAGCAGCAGTTCGACTCCTGAAGGCACAACTCAAGATCATGCTGAGTTCCATCAAGGCAGGAACAGCACCTGAAGAAAGTGACATACAGACAGCTGGTGAAGGCGGCTGCAACTGTCAGGAATCAGCCTGTCACCTACGGGGGTGTAACACCATTAGAGCTCGCATTCGGAAGACGACCAGCAGATCTCATCCAACTCGATGTCGCAGCACCAACTCAGTTGACGATTGACAGGAATGAAGAAGAGCTGACAGCCATCCAGATCAAGCAGCTGTCCAAGCAAGCTTTCCAAGAAGCACGTCAATCCGAAGACATCCGACAAGACCTTGCTCAAAATCTCCGAATGAGTTCTAAGCCTCTTCAGGTGAAGGACAAGGTATTTTACTGGCAGGAAGACAAATCCAAGATCCGTTCCGATGGAAGCAAGGGAGGAATATGGCTAAAAGGAAAAGTCATTTCCATTGAAGGAGCAATGGGTCGACTTGATCTTGGGGCTCGACTCATCAAGGTTAACATGACGAAGGTCAGGAAGGATGAGACCATCCCTCCGGGGAAACCTGGAATTGATCTTCTCTTGCCAGAAGAGCGAGAATCCTTGCAGAAGGAGACCATCCACGAGGGAGCTGGGAGTTAGTGAAGCATCACAACAGCCAATAGCCGCATCGGCAGCGACAGCTTCAAGCAAAACTTGCCTGGGGTGATCGCTGCTGTCAGTGAGCCGCCAAGCGCCAAAAGCCAAACCGGCTCCTCTGCCGACACCAAGAAGAAGGAGTCATCCGCACCAGCTTCTAAGCCAAAATCCTCAGTGCCATTACGCATCGCGGGAAAAACAACTCCCAAACCTGCAGCACCTCGTCCGGCAGAGAACATGTTCGTCGAGGACCTCACAGCACTGGAATTGTGTACGTAAAGGAAAGATCCACGGGACGACACATGGTCATGGAGATCATCAGAGAGCAAGCGCCTGATGTAATCCTCATGGCACCGGTCTGTGGACCGTGGTCAAACATGCAGAACATCCAACAAGACCAACAAAGAGTCTGGGAGAAGCGGAAACGCTAAGCGGAAACGCTATCTTCCCATGGTTGAATTTGTGGCATCCATTGCGAGATATCAGCTGAAGCACGGAAGATATTTTCATCATTGAAAATCCTCAGACATAGCAGTACTGGGGCAATCAAAAGCACTGGAAGGACTATGGCGATTCGACCTGGAATGATTATGGAGACTATGGCAGTCAATCTGACAGCAGCCGCCAAGAAGACTCACACGACCAGCGCTACGAACTACAACCAGATTGATCCTCACCGCCAACAAGACTATTCTGTGAGAGATCAATAGTTTCACATCCGTCCCGCATGTACATAGCGCGTCACTTTTCGTTA